CATGATATATATATATATATGATCATTTAAAAGATCTTACAAAAACATTCAAAGGATTTTAAATACAAACTTTGAAGGTAGACTATAAGCACAAAAACAAACAGTTTTTAAATAGGGAAGTGTATTCGAATTCAATATCCAGTTTAAAAGCTTTTACCAAGAGCAAGAATTTAATAGTTAGAAAATTACAAAAAATTCTGCCTTGGCTCCTGGAACTTATGTATGTTGGGCCCATGCTTAACTAAAAGAGCAACTATCGAGGCTAATATTAAAATTAGAACAATATTTTTACCACGTTTGCAACTGAAAAATATATATTAGTTAAACTAATTTCAGGCAAATGGTTGGCGATCTAATAGCAAAGCAGTCTAAGTAATAGGGTATGCTTCCCAACACTGTGAATGAACTTCTTAACACCAAATCTTATCTCATGCAACACTTAACAGGTCATGGTCCGTTCAACGCATACTTCCACCACTTCGGTTTTAAGGAAGACGCATTATATAACTGTGGAGAGACAAGATGTATTTTCTGATGTATTTTAGTTGCATCTATACTCGGACTCATCAAGAAACTGATACCAGAAAAAAGCTTTTAAGACCAAAATGCTATCAAAAGGTACCTTCATAGACAGCTGAATGTTATTAACCCTCTTTACATAGTTCCTTGCTATGTTTAATTTCTCATGATATTACATCCTTGTGTAAATTATATTACGCTTTGTATGTAAATTTTCGTATGCTAATATCTTTGTACACATCCCAATTAACAGCTTGGTATTATAATGGTGTATTTCATGTAATCATAGTTGTAAGAATTGATTGTATATATTGTGTATATAACATTTAAAATAATTCTCTAAATGACAGAATATAATCTCACTTTTCCCATGTCGTTTCTCTAACAGCGAACAGATCTTTTAGAGAGTTAATATTTCTTTTAGTTCATCAGGCAATTATGCTGATATAGGCTTTAGGTAATACAGCGACTTTGTTAACGTTCAATACAGCGCAACACTCATGGAACATGTAGCTGCAACATTACTATCCTGTATTAGAAAGCATTGTTATGTCTGGCATGCACTTCTTTTAATGGGAAGCTAAGAAAAATGGGCTAGTCGCGATACGATTGTATCATAAACGGTTCTCAAGTAGATGTTGACCCCATCATTAGACATCTATGTTCTTGAGCCGCAGAGTGCAACAACTGGATTCTTCGGTATAAACAGAACTATAACCAGGACCGAATGAAGCACTTACCTCCTACAGAAAGTCGGTTTATCACTACACATAAATTAATTAACTTATTAAAAAAGACCTGAGTTACTTCTCAGCACATTGGTGATCCTCAATCAAATGTGTGCTGAGTATTTTACGTGGAGGACTTACATCTTTAGACGTGCAAGAAGACGTCACATCCACTTGAGGTTGGAGATTAATGTTTTCTTGGATCGCAAATTTTTTTCGATTGCGAAAAGACGGGCATAATTATCGGAAATTCCTAGAAGAGGTCTTGCTGGAAGTAATACGTATATTCCTATATATGTACTTCAGCAGTGGTGATTTCGGCATAATTTGGAATGCTCGTGCATATCAGTTTGGATGTGCGGCAGGTATGCTTCTTGTACAACGAATTGGCCGGGGATGATTCCACATGCCTTGATGTTACTTACCTAGGATTCAAAGTTTTGAAGTGCTAGAGTTTCGTAACTTCTTCTACTGACTTCGTCGTAAGTTTCTTTAAGATAGTAAGTAACACGAGAATAGTAACACGCTTTTAGAGAAATTATGTTTTAGTTCTGGTTTCGCCAACAGATGGCGCCACTTGCTTATTCTTGTCCAGGCTTTCTTATCTTATCTAAACATTATTTCCTATCTTGTTCATTTGCGGTTTTGCAGCTGAAGATGATGGTTCGGTAAAACCATCGAAACTAGTCCTGTGAAAATTTTGTGAATTAACGCTGATTTTTGTTGTTTGACTTCTGAATCAGTATTTATTCGGCGTGTTATTGCGTCTTAATTATAGTAACACGTGTTACCAAAAGGGTTGGAATTTTCCTTTGTATTCGTTTATACATGCATCGACATTGTTAATCATATAATGTGCGCGGAATTTTCAGCACTTCTGAAATTGAAAAGCTCATATGTTTTCTAATACACTATCGCATTTTTCATATTTTATTATTACTATTATTATTATTATTATTCCTTCTGTATTTTTAGCGCAATCAGTGTTATTTCAGGCTATGTGTTCTTATGTAAAAAATGGTTTGTTTTTATTCATGGCCTACCTTTTAAGTTTTTTTTAAGACATTTTGAATCGCTTTGTGTATGTCAAACTCGGCATCTAGTAATGCCAAGCAAGTAAAACAGAAATAAAAACTGCACAATAAAACTTATGTTATGCGTCTGTCTTATGTACCAGTGTTGTATATCAGATGAATTCAGCTCAGAACTCCATGAAGACAATTTTATGCTAACAGAATTATCGTTGGATTAGATACTGGCCAAACATAAGCAGCAGTGTCCCAGGACTTTATCCCATACATAACACCTGGTTCAGTGTCAAAGCCTTATCCAACTCCAGTGTCATAGTCTTATGGTATATCTAACAGAATGGAAATGTATCATGACTTCAGTACAGAACATAGGCAGATAACTGAGTGTTAAAGTTTAGTGACATAAAATGATTTCTTGAGGATTGTATGACCGCAGGCGGGAAAGTTCTATTAATTTAATTGCAGTTAGTCGAAATTCCGTACAAAGAATTTAATTGTTTTGGCACATGACCGATAAATATGTGCTTTATTTAGTAGTAAATCCAATTTAATCTGCTAGGAGGTTTACACTGTGTCTTCATCAAGAGAGATCATGGGTTGGGTACAATGCCTCCAGTATTCTAAAATGTTTCCTTTATTTAGTGTGTCATGATACTGGATTTATGCGCTTTATGAATGCGAAAGGAAAATTATCACAGCCCTGAGATACATTTTGCAGTAATGTGTTTAGCTCAGCAATGGGATTTAAATTTCGCTTTATGGAGGACAATTGCTATCCTTACCGAGATACTTTTTTCGTGAAACTATATCTAGAAAACGAAAGTGTCATCCACTTATGGAAGCTCGCTTACTTCATCAGTGTGGTAATTAATTATAATCCTCATAGAGTACACATAGAAAATTCTTAAGAGATTCTCGCAGAATGCCATTCACCTTCTAAACCTTTTCTTCTTTTTTCGACAGTACTGATGCAAGAGAATCTGCGTATTTCAAAGACATGTAATCTTTTGCCTTTAATGAATTGAAGGGCTATATGCCCTTGAATTCGTTCTGAAGGAAGCCTCCATGGAGGAGTTTTTTAAGAGAATTGTTTATTCTCTTAAGTATGTTATACACGGGGAAAACCATGAAAATGCCAATGCAGCAGCCTGTTCTGGATTTGAAGCCAGATCGAACTACCAGTGTTGAGCGGTGTTATCTATTTGGCTACCTAATACACTGTATAATTAGAAACCTTCGCTTGTGCTTCTAAAGTTTAGAAACTTAGGTTATTCTTAACTCTAAAACATGAGTTCATATGTTTATGTAATTTAAGATACATGCTAATCACAAAAATAGAAAACTTATCGATAAGTTTAAATACCTCTCCTGGTTATTCGAAGATAACAGTATGGAAATAAGAATTATCTGACCTAATTCACAAGAGTTCATTCACCTTTGTTTATCCGGAAATAAAAGATGTGTAAGATGAGCGAAAATTTCCAACGTCGTCTAGTGTACATATCTAGCACCTAATTTACATTATCATATATGAAATACGTTGTGGCACAATAATCTTGACAGATAAGCGACCCAGTCATATAGGAAGCGTTTTAAAAATTTATTTTACTATGTAGTCACGTATGACAACGAAACCAATCTGGCAGAAAAATACATTGTGAGTATTCCTATTTTTGTTTGTATTGATTTCTATTGCTTTTTCTATTGATTTCGCACCCCTTTAAACCCCCAAACAGCTTGCAAATTTAATCATTTTGTCTTACTAGTATGTTTTGTCATACTGTTCATGTATAATAAATGTCTTTTTTGTACTTACTTTCCTTCACGGTGAATGGTCAGAAGTGTATTATTAATGTGAAGTTTACTTTCAAAAAAGTGGATTTTTTCTCAAATAATGTTTTCTTAGTTTTTTTAAGGGTTTCATATTGTTTTTTCCCCCTCAGTATATGTAAAATGTAATGCGTTGAAGTTTTTTAATATATTTTTTGTTGTATTAATGAATATTTTAACGCATGTTTGTTTTATTTTATTTATTTTATTGGGATTCATTGGTTTATTTAGAAACATTTGTTTTCGAAGAATAAATGCGATTAAATTCTGAATTTTATGAAATCAATTAAATTGCAACTTTAAACTAAGAAAGAAGTTAATTGTTAAAATACGTAATACTTATTATCTCACTTTAAAAATTTCATACCCTTAACTTTTATAATTTCTGAGAAAAACGTATATAAAAAAAGGGTGAATATTTTATAGTGGAGACAAGACTTTGTCTAACATAAAATAAAATAAAAGTTGCTATTCATTAAAAACATCAAAATACGTTTTACGTCACAAACATAAGAAAAAAAGAGCCCTTAAATTTTTTATTTCCACATTAAATATGTATCCGTTAGGTTATAGAAATAGAACATGCAATAATTTCCAGAACATTATAATAAGGGGATAAAGAATTATAATTTGATACAACCATGGGTTTAAAGAGATAATAATTCTTAATTTCACTGCGTGCCAAGTTAAATATACGTATTTAATTAGATTTTAATTAGATTCATTGTCATTCCTCGCAGAACGACTATTACGTGAAATTCGAGAACTTACTTTAATACTCTGAAAGATGTCACGGCTAACCTGTTTATTTTCTGATAGCGATTCGTTCTGGAAAATTTTTATGTATTCCGCTCGCTGAATTCAGCTCTATACATAATTGCATGAAAAGCAGCTTCTGGTTCAGTAGGCAAACATAAATGGAAATTTAGTTTCGGTTGTTACTCTGTTGTTTTGTCCCCCGTTGGTTTTTTAGATGGAATAGGATGATCTTATTGGAGATAGGACTCCTATGGAGTACTTTTCTCTGCTAAGGACTTTCAAGATGTTATAACGGGAACTTTATTTGAGAGTCCTGTGGATTAACGGGAAAGCGGAAATTGCTCGGAACCTTCTTGATGCTGAATCTTTGACAGAGTAAGTGAATTGGTGCATATAATTGTTTGGTTATGGAGTTTACTTGCTCTGAAAATGCAGTGAAACAATTTATGATTATTGTCTGTCATATATATGAAGACTATCAATATCCCTGGGAGCATAAATAACCATTGTTAGTGACCATGACTGACAGTCTTGTTCTCTGAGATGACTACCACTAGTTTAGACGAAACTCGTCTGGAAAAGTAAGTAGTCATCTTAGGGAGGTTTATCTGTATTTACTGATAACCCTCTACCTAAATTATTATCAGCTACCTCAACAAAACGATGGGAAAATTAACTCCTCTAGTTAAGGCAATTAAAGATGTATAGATGTGCATGTATAACAAAATACTTTGCATGCTTTTAACTCATCACGAAATAATGGATAATGTTTACAAGGAGGAAACTATGATTTAAAATCAATTAATATAAGAACTTTATAAATAATACTATATAAGTGACTTAAAGGAAGTTTTTACAGTACTAATTTCGTAAAGTTTCATTCCCGAAATAAATTGCAAATACAGAAATGTATATTAAGTTCCTGATATTGGCAAGAAAGTTCTCAATTTGAATGAGCAGTTATATATATATAATAATAATACAGAAAAAATTTATTGCTAGATGTTTATGCGTAATGAAGAGCGAACTTGTCAGAGATAAATTTAATAAGAAACAGTCTCGGCAGATTTAATATTCTCTTTTTTAAAAAAAATTACATTTGCTCTCTAGTCGTACTTTTTTCAAATTATTTCTATTTTTGATTACTTTGCAGTAAAACGAAACGCACCACGCAGCGCTCTAGCTAGACCCAGGACCAGAAGCGATGTGCTCAGGAGGAAAATTAATTCAGAGTGAATTAGTTTTGATTTTGATAGCATTTGATTAGTAATTAATAGCTAAAATGATTATTGGCTAATTTACGATTTAGTTTGAAAAAACTATTACATCATTAGCATCATGTAAAAGCCATACAATATGGATTAATCTATAAATGACGCAGTCCAGAAAAAAATTATTATAAGAAGTTACTGTTTATAGAATAGAAAGAGAAAATGTCCAAATTAAAATTAAGAATGAAGGGGCTGTTGCAACTTTAAGTTAGAATTTTGATTTAAGTATTTTTTATCATCCTACTCATACACACACAGATGGATATATATATATATAAATAATTACAAAACAATTTTTTTAAAAACAAAATATAAACATGCCTATATATATATATATATATATATATATATATATATATATTAATTCATAAATTCGTTTAGTTCTTAAATCCTCCTTAACTTTTTATCCTGGCAATATTTTAGATGCTTTCAGTAGCAGTTTGTAGGCAAAGAATCTAATTTTTTTTTTTATCTTACAGGACATTACCTTCTTTCCTATATAGGGATGTTTCCGGACTCATTAATACAATCCGCCTTTTAAAAGCCCTAGCGACGCGCGCGGCTAGGTGGGACGTTTCTAGGAAACGAGATTTTAGTAGCACTGGATTAAACGGTAGGTTTCCGAGAAATACCTACAAATTTTACACATAAGTGCGAATATGGAGAATATATAGAGTATGAGTATAACATTAAAGTTCAGAATTCATAGGCGATTCTTTTTTTTTTTTTTTTTTTTTTTTTTTTTCGTAACCAGAAATGGCTCTTCTTTATTTCTTTAGACTTTTATAATCCATATGTTGATTTCTAATGCGTCGTGGTGAAACCATTTCTTTCTAAAGCCTCAAATGATATACATAGTAGTGTCTGAAGACCTTTTACATATTCATAGCCACATGATATTAATCGCTGAAATTTTTCCTAACATTGTTACACTATTTGCTTTTAAAGCTGATAATTTTACTGCAGTGACAATATCGTGAAGAAAAGACAACGAAGTGGACAGCAGTTGATGGAAACCATCTGCTTCCATTTGCTTTTTTTCTTCTGAATGATAGTTGTAATAGAGGTGTAAAACTTTACACCCTATCTTTTTTAAATATATTGATTCCTTCTTTCATCTAAAATGTCTATGTATTTCTGCATATTTATCTAAATAGATCTGAAGTAAACAAGCTTGGATAAAAAATAAACGCCTCGTGATAAACAATAGAACGTTGCGAGATAAACAGCAATAGATGCGCCATATGACATGATTGTTTGCTTGGGAAAGAACAGTTTGATGTTCAGCTGTATTAAATTAAAAGTGAAAATAGAATTCCATCCGTTAAATATCTATAACATAGTTGCACAAGAATTTAAGTATTATTAGTTTTTATTGTTATTGCATAAATTTCCATTATGATTACTTATCAATTTACAGCACTAATTCTGTATTCAAATGAAAATTTCAAGCATTTCGTTCATACAAATAAAATTCAGATTTGTAGCATTAATAGAAAAATTAATTTTTAACTCGTAGTAAATTTTTTAGGTAAAATTGAGGCTTAATGTTATTAAGTTTTGAATCATTGACACAAAACAAGCTTCTTCATGTCTTATCTCTGATTAATGCATAAAATAAATATAATTAATTAAATTTTTTCGATTGTGAATTCCAGTTCTGCCAATTATATGATGTTCATATAAAATATACCTCTGTAACAGAAGGAAAAAGTGGTTTAGAAGAAAAACTCATTAAAACTAGTCTATAATATTTATTTTTAAATATATAAGTGCTGAAACTGAACTTTACTATGATTACAAAAGAAGTCGCATATTATTTTTTATTTAAAATCTACAATGTAGGTAAATTAAGCTAAATGATAATTATCCGCTTCTTTTAAGAAAAAGCTAAAAAGGTTGTATATTATAATTAAACAATTTATACTAATATTACAATTGATAACCTGAAAAATACCCACAGAAAAAAGGCTCACAGAATAATGCTCACAGGTATAAATGCTTACAAGAAAAAAGGCCCACACAGAAATATGTCCACATAAAAAAAAGCTCACACGGAAAAAAGCTCATATAGATATATGCTCACAAGGAAATAAGCCCACTGATAAATAAAATACGTAGAAATATTCTTACATTAATCAATCAATAATTAATCAATTTGAACATGGTACACCTACTTTAATTTTTCAAAGAAAAATTAATTAAATTACCAAAACATCTATGACATATATATCAAAAACTGTATAACTTATGTGTAGATTCAGTTGCTATATAAGATTAACAAATGGACCGTTTTGGATTATGAAAAGGTGAGAAGGAAAGAAGAAAAACTAAACAGAATACATAGTGAAAAAATAATATAATTTTAATTGTTAAAAAAACAAAATAATAGTAAATATCAATTACACATTTTATATTATAAACATTTAGAAGAATAAGCAAATATGAATAATTATTTTATTTAAATTACATAAAATACCTTAGTATTATGTAGAGTTATTAGGTTAATTGGAAGCAGAAAAGATGAAAAACATGCAACCTCCTTCGCCGGGAATCGAACCACGGATCTCTGGAATACCGGCTCAGCGTGCGGAACCACTACACCACGAAGGCACGGCTGGGAAGTGGGAGAAATAACTTATGTACTCCTCTTTTTAAAGGGCGACTAGTGTTTTAGGGAATTTAGTCGCCAAATCCTGGGTGCGGAGAATCATCGTCCACAACCATTTTAGTTCGGGCGCCACTTATAGAGACATTAGGTATTTTTTGGAAGCCGGACAGATGAAAAATTAACAACCGCCTTCGCCGGAAATCGAACCACGGACCTCTGGAATACCGACCCAGCGTGCTACCGTTACACCACGAAGGCACGCTAGGAAAGTGGGAGAAATACCTTATAATTATATAAATCATAAACATATATTTCAAAAAGTTATAAATACATAAAATTACTGAATATTGGTTAATATATGTAAATATCGAATTTTATCATCGATTTCATTATAGTTTCTTACATGATTCAAGATTACCAAATGTAAGTTTTGATATTTTCTTTCTTTCTTTCTTTCTTTTTTTTTTTTTTTTTTTTTTTTTCTTCTTTTCTTTTTTTAAACTTCAACACACCCTGTATTTACAATAACTAATAATAAACGTTTACAGGCTAAATCTTTTTTCGGTCCGTCAAATAGAAATCACATACTGGGATGGCTACAATCAAATAATGAATTTAGTACCTTATGAAAACTTTCGTAACGATTTGTGGTTTTAAGAGATTTTTCGAAAGCTGCTTCATAATGATTCCTCACTTCGATTGGAAACTGTGGTCTTCTAGAACTTTTTTGGCTCCAAACTTAAATAACTACATTCAAACATCAATTCCTATAGCTACACATCAAAAGAAGCAAAAAATAGAGTGGAAAAAAAAAAAAAAAAAAACTAACTATTGCCAGTGACAAGAATAAAAATATCGTACAGGGACAGCGGTGTAAAATATTATAGTACATGCAAAATTTTACTATAGTTTTCATTCTTTTATATACTACCCCTGAAAAGGTTAATGTGAGCATTTGTCCAATAATTTTTTTCAAATGATTAAATAATTTTTCTTTTAAAAATTAAGTAGGTGTGCGATGTTCAAGATCGATTAATTATTGATTGATTAATGTAAGGATATTTCTACGTATTTTATTCATCAGTGGGCTTATTTCCATGCGAGCATATATCATGTGACCTTTTTTCCGTGTGAGTAAATTTCTAAGTGAGCATTTTTCCATGTGAGCTTTTTTTTTTTTTTTTTTTTTTTTTTGTATGTGTGTGTGTGTGTGTGCTTTTTTCCTGTGAGCATTTGTACCTGTTAGCATTATTCTGTGAAAAATATTCCTGTGGGCTTTTTTCCTAGAACCATTACAATTAAATCTGATATCTATAAATTACTAAATTTTATCGAGTTTAAACAGGCAGAAGTGTGTCTTGATATTTCTATATTTCAATTTCTCCTTAACATAGAATGTTATAATCAGTCCCTGATTTACATAAAAATAAATAAATAAATAAATAAATAAGTTGGAGGCGGGAGAAAAATTTTTCCTGTCTCCCGCTATTGGT